AGTTCGGAGACCCCAGCCACGCATATAAACCATACGGCTCCGATTTCGGAGTCCCTGGCTGGTAGTGGTTAACTGCTGTTTGTGTGCAAGCCGAATCTCGCAAAATTCGGACCTGCTTGCCTTCCACAGTACCGTCAAGCATACACTTTTGAAGTTGAATTTCCACGGGGTCATTTACCACTGTTCGAACCCCTGGAACTACACGTACTTCATATCTGTTAACTGACTTAGTATTCACCCCTTTAGTCAGTGACTTGTTTTGACAAACCTTAGGTTGTCTGTCCTGGATGCTGTTTCTTCTACTTGCGCCAGACTACTACTACTAACCTGATTGGCCTGCGACCTTAAAGGGCAAAAGGGACTTATATGTCTATATTCATGACAGTGATAGCACTGCCTCTCACTAAGTGGAATATACTTGGATCCCGCATGACCATTACTCCCTTGCATATAACCTCTTTTGTTTTTGTCGGTACTGGGTCCATCAGTATCAGTACCACCAACTTTTATGCCATCTACTGAAGACATTCCTGATTGCTCACTGGAATTTGACATCTTACTACTTCCAAAGTCACTCTTGTGACCAGGATGGTGATTTCTAGATCGCCACGTACTTTTTGACATATCGGTTTTACGCCAGTATTCTGAACCTCCCCTGTTAGCTACATAGGCATCCGCCATGCCTGCTAATTCCTTGCAAGTTTTGGGATTTTTATCCCTAAGATAGAGTCTAAGGTCATAAGGCAGTTTGTTGAGTGCCTGTTCCATGACCATTAGATCAATAATATCTAATGGGTTGGAACCATCGATCTCAGTGAACTTCAACCAATTTGGGAATTGATGGGAAAGTTCATTGACCCAGTCGCGAACAGTTTCCGTGCCCTTTCGCGCACGCTGACGGAAATTTGTACGATATGTTTCGGCTTTGATCTCATATCTATCCATATCTATCCTATCTATCTTATGAACCCAGTTTCTTCCTTAATTGACTACGACCTTCCCCTATATACTTGTGGTTCCTTACTCAGAATTGCTTCATGACACCGACTTACATAAAGGAATTTGTGTGGTTTTGTGGAAAAGGCACCGAGAAAAATATGCCGACATATACAAAATAACGACGTGTAAATGCCGACTTAGAAATGAAATTTTGAATGGAATGCATCACAGACGATCGGGACTTTTGTAAAACGGCCGACTTGGACGATATGACGGGTTATGCAATGTCGACTTTGTCTTCATTATTGTATATATTTCACAATCCTGAGGACTCAGTGCTGTTATCTAGGGAAGACACAATTCAGTGCACAGGTTTTTCTGTCCAAATTGTGAACCCAGAACTAACTTACTGCAAAAATTTCACAATCCTGAGGACTCAGTGCTGTTATCTAGGCAAGACATAATTCAGTGCACAGGTTTTTCTGTTCAAATTGTGAACCCAGAACTAACTTACTGCAAACATTTCCGAGAAAGGGATTGATGCTTGCTTATTGCTGTGCACATAAACATCAATAAATCCACCAAGAAAAGAAAATTTAGCCCTGCAAACAATAAATAATGCAGGACTTTTTCACGCACAGACCAATGTAACATTGAGTCTTTCTTCCTAGGATTACATCACAGTTTTTTTCATGAATATGGAAATACTCATGAGCATACAAACCAAAAAGGCAATAAAATATCCTTTGAAACCGTGAAACAAAACTTAAAAATAACCTTAACTGAGACACAAAGGCATATTTTAATGTTTTTTTTGGTCATATTGTCAAAATCTGAAAGGGCACATGTTTCTCTGTCCATTAATATCAGTTTCATATCCATATTTGCAGTAGTTAGGGAAATGTTTTTTCAAAAGGAAGTGTGAGCTCTTGTCCAACAGCCTCGTATTTTTGCTTGATAATTCTGAATCTGTTTGCCCCATACAAAAACAAATTGATTGCAGTGTCTCTTTAATCCCTTTGAATTGCACCTGTCAACAAAACACATGACCAGATATGTTGCTGCAAGTACAGTACATGCTTTGGCATCTTCATGATGATGGCCCAAAACAGTGAAATTTGTCTATATGGCTTACTACAAAACATGACATCAAACAACCCCAACTTTTAGACGGAAATGTAAAAAACTTCAAGGCATGTAGAGGTTGCTGATTGTGTACAGTTTTTACTGGTTACATTTGAGCTTTGTGAAGTGTCACTGATATAGCACTGGGGCTTTCTTTTTCACCAACATCCCATCATAGGTGAATTTGTTTTTCTGATCATGTTTTCATTTATTTTTAGCTTTCAAGGAGAACCAGTGTTTTGAAAAGTAATTAAATTTTGGACTGAAACTTTGTGTTAATTGCAGATGAAGGTACATAAATTGATGCAAAGATTTCAACTTTTGACTGTCTTATCCTGATTTTTTAAATAGTAATCAGAATAAATCCATCTTAGGCAACTTTTAGTATTAAGTACAAGGAATAAACAAAATTTGCACCCTACACAGCCATCAATTGACATGCAGCTCTGCATCACCATTTTTTTTTCATTTTTTAGCCTCTTAGATGCGCATACAAACTCTGTCTCAAAACATCTTTTATCCTCTTGGGGCTGGTGATAATATTTACATCTATGATGGAACTTAATCTGTAATGTGGCGGTTGGAAAACATTTCTGGATAGGTATAAGCACATTCGCACTCTATCAGACACCTTTGCACTGAACTTGACTAAAGGGCTGAGTCCTCTTAAAGTATTTTGGGAGAGGGTGGGCTTCAGCACTTGAACATGACTCTTTCTTCATTCATAAATACCTCAGACAGTTTCCCTGTTCAGCAACGTACGATTTGAGTGTGCCTTTATATAATTTAATAATGCCTACTGAGAAGGGATAATGCCAGCTGCATAAATCACGGGCTGGTGTCTGGATACAAGACAGTTTCATCGATTCTCATTGGTCAAGATTCTGTGTGCATGCAGCTTGCCATGTGCTTGTCAAGTCCATATAACTAGATTTTATTGGATAACTTGCTCAAGGAAGATACCATAAAATGGATATGGGTATTTGGGAAAATGAAAGTAAAATTCTGGAATAAAATCGTTGGAAATCCATCATATATTGACTTTGTTTGACTCTCTGACTAACAAGGTATTTATCATGGGAATACTGACCAAGCACATACATGTATTGTTCCCTTATTATTGCCTGCATGTTTTTCTACTTACATGTAGTTGTTCAGAGGCTTCAAACAGTTCTTTTTTAGCAATGGGGAACAAAACTGACAGCATTTCCAATGCCATATGACAGATTGATGACCCTTTTTCACAAACGGACACCTTAGCACCTTGTGGCTGATTTCTAGATATTGTCTTTGTAACCTTTTCACTGATTAGTTTCTCCATATAAAAAGGACAATATCAACAGATTTAGATTTAATATATAATCAGATAAAGGTGGCTTTATGTGTCTAAAAATACGAACACCTCTTATTCACTCCTTCTTAACAGACTTTAAATGACACCCAACTAGTGTTGTAGTCCAGTACTTTCCAAGCCATGTCTACAGCCAGATATTAAGGTAGTTGGATGGGTTACACTGTAAAGCTGACTAATACAGATACTGAGGCGATACTGAGAGCTTGGACAATCACATTCATGTAAAACCCAAGACGTAATGTTTTCTTGAAAGTACTCACAGAGTGCTTTTTGAAGTACTTTTCTAGTAATTGAGGGAATAAAAGTGTGATTCGGTGTTTTGAAACTGAATTTAAATCATTTAAAACCAGACAGGGAGTTGGGGGTAATAATGGAATGAGCCAATTGTTTATCACCAGACCTGGTGTATTTTTGAAAACAATCCAAGCGTTTGTTCCCATTTGTAAATTCCTAAGTGAAAAAGTGTCTATTTACTTGAAAATTCATAGTTCTCCAACAGCGTTTGTCAATTTAATTTGATATTTAAAGGCATGTGCCTCATGGTCATTACCGAAATCTCCTGATATTGCAATTGGTGCATATTACATGTACATGTATATGATGTGATGTGGAGCATAGCTGGTCCTGTTTGGAATTAGATTTCAAATGTATGGAATGTAGGCTCATGGTTGCACTGCACATGCCTGTGGAATCATGGTTCTCATTTATATATAACAGAGTCCATAAAATAGGAATCACACTTTCATTTGAAACCGGATTCTAGTTTTACCATCTGTTAAATACCACCCACGTGATGGGCTTTTGACTGGTAGAGTGTGGAAACTGTCTTGGGTATTTAAGAATGAAAGGTATTCCAAGAGTATTCCATTACTGGCTAATCTACTGGTACTTCTAATGTTTCTATTGCTGTTTCCACACCGAACAGCTCATTATTTGATGGTGCCACCAATACTGAGTGACAGGTAGAAATTTTGACTGCTGCAAGGACACTAGTTTACCACAATATGAATGATACATGGTTAAACTAATTGAGTAGAGAATCACATTTCTCTCAATTTTCTGACTTTATCACTTTTCTTTTCACTGAGTATACAGTATTCTAGAAACCTAAAATCATGTTGATCTGACACTGTGCTTTAACATGTTGAACTGTCATATTTAATACTGAAAGCCCTATTTTCCATTTTGATTCTTTAGTTCATCGCACTCATCAGACAGAATTAGTGCGTCTCATCACAGATCACTGCCCACTCTTGGCTTTTCAAGCAGCTTGTGATTGGCTGAGGGAAGTCATAGTGTCACCCATCACTGTTGAACCAGGTAGGTTAGAGGATTAACCATATGCTGCCTGGTTTAATTTGAAGTTGCATGACATATTCCCCTGGTGATTTTCAAGATTTTCTTTTTTCACAATTCTTTCATAACTTTATGTACTGGATGATTACACCCAAATGAATGATTGTCTGGTGGCTACTCTAATCTGACAGACAACATCTATTGACGCTTGAGTCTTTCAGCCAGGCCTGCCGCCTTGTAAAGAGAGCCCAGATTGTACATTGTTAACGTAATTTTCTTTTGTTCCCGAAACTCGCCCAGTGTGCTGCTTGCGTCTTTTCAAATGCAGACCATATTAGTGTGCAGCGGTATTGTATCGCTTATACCTGGAGCTCTGGAACATTTTTGCCCCCAGTGATAATCTGCTTGCCCTGATTGCCACAAACAGTGGTACAATCATTCAAAACAATGACGGATTTCCTCTGCTATTGACAACTGAAAAAACATATTGGCAATTCCCAGCAGATCTGTCTTTGTTCCAAGTACGACCTTTTGTTACAAGGCCAAACTCCTTTGTCCAATTTCAGGCACCCTGGCTTTGCGTATAAGACCAACATGAATTTTTGGGGTCCAGAAAATGCAATTTGGAAACGTCAGCCACAGAATGTTGTGTTTCTGGCACTAATTTTCAATGATTCTTTTATCGTAACTTTGGACTCGCTCGTTGTAAAAAGTTTGTGTTGACTGAAAGAAAAAAGTTTTTATTCACACTTCTGTGTCATCTTAATTTTATAAAGCTTGGGTGTGATTTGTCCGGATTTTTCTGGATTTCCGGAATTTCTGTGAGACTCTCCGGAATTTCTGTGAGACTTTCTGGATTTCCGTATTGTCAATGCTTTCAATTTGTAACTAAGCAAAAGACTTGCACAAGTTTAGGTGTATAGCATGCACTATAACGTTGATACTCCCCCCTGGCAATGCGCCAGATACATAGGTAATAGTACATTGAACAGAGGGGGTATCATTGTTACGACATAGGGACCCAGGCCAGCGGTATGATCATTGTGTGTATGTACATGTACTGTACATGTACGTTCACTGTGTGTGTATGCACGGTACATTTGTTGTCATTGCATGCACTGTGTACTACTTGTGTCCGTCTGCCATTGCGTCTCGTTTTGTTCTCTTGGTGGTCTGATGTTGTTGACGTACATCAAGAAGTCATACAAGGTAGTAGGTAGGGAAGGGGATCTGAATGTAGACAAAGGATTCAAGAATTCTTGGAAATTTTTCTGGCTGGAAACCGAGGTGGACAGAGAATTAACCAAGGGGAAATCTATATATTATCGTGACAAAATGTTCGACCAATAGCCAACTTCGTCATATATCTTGCCTTGACTAGAAGTACCCACTCAACGGTTCAACAGAGCCAGGTGGTCTGTAGTACTCAACCGATCGCTATCTTGTTTGGTGCATGTATGCATGACTAATGCAAAACACTGCGACACTGCCATGCATGCATGCCCACCTTGCGTTCATGCTGAAGTGCGTGTGCTAAGTTTGAGCTCGTCAAAAATTTTGGTGTCCGTGTGTGCATTCTCAGGCTCTGAGGTGTTTCATTCAGCTTTGGAGCAGGTAAAGGAACGGCTGACTCATCATCATGTTCATGGCAAACAAAGCAGAATTGTGCCATGCGTGGGTGTTCTCACAAAAACCTGTTTCCCTTTGAAAGGCTTTGAAGTAGGCAATTGCAACTATGGATCACCATGTCTGAAAGGTTGAGTCATCGCAGGTTAGTAGCCTCGGCTTTAGTGTTATTATTTAAGCGGGAAGATTTCCATATAGGCCTATTCTACCCCCAGAACTTTGGGGTTTGAAGTCTGCCCTGCTTTCATGTTCAGAGTGGGCGGACATCGGACCCAAAGTCTTGGAGGTACAGTAGGCGTAGGCCTAAGTTCCGTGATATAGGCCTACGGCCACCAGTAATTCTTTCACTTCAGTAATCACAAAGCAAAAATATTTGACCTGATAAAATGGTGTTTTATACAGGTGCTAGAAGTTACATTTGGAACTCAGATTTTATGATGTTGTGTCTTTTTCTTCAATCTTCAATGTAATGACATTTTGGGGTCAACAGTGATGTTAGGACATACGTGTAAGTTTCAGTAGGGACAGTTTCTGAATTCTGATGGATGCCACTACTGTTGATTGTACGATTTTTGCATGATTGGTCGATCAACCTTTAATTGTCAAGTTGTTGGCATTTTCAATCCAATTAAAAAATCAATTGACATTAGGCATTTGGTCATTTCTTAAATGTTTTCTAATATTACCCCTTAATTTGGTTTTTGTTCTTTGAAATATATGTACAGGCATGACGGCTCCCCACGGAAACCAGGTAAATCCAACAGAATGTGTGCCTTTTTGAGGATGGGAAGAAGTGTAACAAACTCACCCTGAACACAGGAGGTGACTACAGTAAAGAAATCAACAAATATAAGACTCAGGTACCTGTACAGACTCCAGTTGTATCTGCTGACCACAACTAGATCTCAGGCCAGCTGATTCCAAAGCAGAAAACTGAGAAAGTGCATGTGCACAGACAGATTCAAATCAATTTTCTTTAACAGGATACATGCACCTGCACTGGCCCAGGAGAGGTCATGCATGTACTGCCGTCCATACCATGTTAGGTTACATGACTGGCACCGGGGCTAGTACCTAGACATCTTTCTACAAAGAACCCTGCATTGGACACACAGAGACAAAAGACCAGTGCGTGGAACCCCAGGTGGGATGGCACATATAAAGACAACATCCATGACCTGACAGGGGTGCAGCTGAGTGTGTTTCTCCTCCTCTTACTGCTTCCAACAAAAACAAGGGGTATGAGTCTAGAGAATTGCCTGCTGTGGTTACTTATGCAATGAGTTTTTTAATCAGCATTTTCAAACATTATTTTCAATGGAGATTTGTTTCTGTTTAAAATTCTCAGTTATTACATCAGAAATGCACCTTTAATTTCTGGATTATCCATATGTATTTTTCAGTTCAGAAAGTTGTGTAAAAGAAGAAAGTAAGAGAAGCATTACAATTCTAATAAATGAATGCATTATCGCTTACATATGTGTATTTTCTGCAGATTTAACAAAGACCTTGAAAAGTACTTGACATTGACAGAACCCTCTGTCAACAATTCAGGGAGAAAATATTTTAAAATAGAAATTCTGTACCTTAGAAATTGATGTCTGGATGAAAGTAAGATTGGATGATACATTTTAATACAGCGACAAATGGCAACTGTTAGGGAGTCCACACAAAAAGAATGCATACTTTAACTCCTGGGACATACATTGTTACCTAAGTTTGTGTATAGTAATCGTGTGAATGTTTCAAGCCCATTCTCATCAAAGTTGAGATATGGAACATTTGATTCTTTTAATTTGCCAGTTTACGATGTCTGAATTTTTAAAAGAATAAGGACACTTAAGTTCAATTTACTTTAGTTCATTGTTGTCTGTGATGAATACACTAACATTTGTGACGCGCTCTGGTGATATGTTTTCATACTGCACTGTGAAGAAGTGTGATTTATTTATTTTATTCATGTAACTTTTCAAATGTATTTATGACTCACAAAGAAGATTAATGAAAATCATAAACATGTACTTAGTGTTTCTATTTCCAAATAGGTCACTTAGGAGACATTTTGTGGTAAATTTTTCAACCTTAGGGAGACATCGGTCATTAGGGAGACATTTCAATGTCTCCCAAATGCTCCAACTACCAGAAGGAGGCCAAAGGAGGTCCAAATTTTGAGAGATGATAGATTAGGGTCTAAATTGAAAACATACAAAGTTTGGTTCAGATCAGATTAGGGAATATTTAATTATGGGACAGTAAAGTTTGTGTACGTTCCTATGGGAATGTCTCCCAAATTACCCATTTTCGGTAATTATTATTAGTACCAGTATGCAAAAAGACTATAATGGATGTGTGTGTGAATTTGTTTGCATTTAAATTACGCCATGTTGGAGTACCACGACTTCAGTGGACCTGAACATCAAAAGATTCAAAGCAACATCATTTTTTCGGGAACTCATTCCATGGCACAACAACCTCCATGAAATTTAAAAGTTATGGTCTGACTTCAGAGACCTAATGCAAATGATGAAACAGCCCTTGAACCACGATGGAGTACAACAGTTCAAGAGTAGAACAGTGAGTGAAACTCTGTTCCAAACATATTTAGCAAAGGATGTAACGTACTACATATACGTCATGGCTGTAGTGATAAGGAGGCGGAATAAGGAGAGCGATGACACAGAGTGTAGAGTCCTCTTAGTGCTGGTGGGAACACATTTATTCAGCCATGTGTAGAAGACTGTTCACCCACATGCATTGTAGATACATCTAGTAGTCACACTAGTTATGCTAGTCAGATGGAACGCGATCGGGACTTTGGAGTGGTAGCCAATGATAACAAGGTAGTGTTCTCTGTCCAGTTCAAATAAGTCCATCTCAAGTTGGTCTATGGGGTTGTCGAGTCTTAATATGGGTCAAGTGGTTGTTTGTGTTGCTTGGTTTGGTTTTCTTGGCAAGCAGGGCATCCCTTGACTAGTGTGGCTATGTCCTCATTGATTTTCGGCCAGTACACTGAGTTTCGCACTTGGCATCTTGTCTTTTCTATGCCTAGGTGCTGACGGATATTGTCTCGCTTATTCTCTGGCACGAGTACCTGTCTACTTTTGAAGACGGCCCCGTTGGAGACTCCGAGTTCATCTCAGTATGGCCAGTATGACCACAGTTGGATAGGTAGTTCCTTGATTAAGTCTGGCCAGTCTGTATATGATTTGTTGTAGTACCTTCATCACAGGGTCGCGTGCGGTTTCATGCTGGAGTGCCTCAAGTTTGCCGCAATCAAACTAGGACCAGATTGATGGCCTTGGTGACTGGATTGTCATTGAGATCAATGCCATCTACATGAAAGTCAAGGGGTATGCTGTGGCTTTGCGGGGTTTGGCAAACGACCAAGAGCATCGGCA